TCCCCACTAGATATCTCTTTTCCAAACAATTTCAAGTGAAACGCCAAGGGTAGGATGATGCAAATGCTAAAGCAGGCGACACTGCCGAGGAGTGTCATGATGCGGTCGAATGAAGGAAATACGATTGCGATGATAACGAAGATGACAATGGTAACGATGCGAAGGGTGATCTTGAGCGCTCCTCGAGTGAGTCCGCTCATGCCGTCGATGGACGAGGACATGGCCAGAGAGCGCGTGTCCAGACCGAAGAGAACTTCCAACGTGCTGACGATAGGGCGTGCGTTGAGCGGGATCTTGGTCAACGGAATGATGGCGATGCAGATGGCGATGAAGACGGAGATGCCCTGGGGGAAACCCTTGGTAAGGAATATGTTGCTCGTCACTTCCTCTTTGACACCGTCTCCGAACATGAGGATACCGGCGCAGGCCATACCGACATCGATCAAGTAGGTGAAGATGTAGGTGACATTGACGGCCTTCCTGTACTTGTATGGGTGTCGCATGTCGCGGTAGATGTTTGGGAAAACAGAGTGGCCACCCCAAGGAGACATGAGTAGACCAATCGAGAGTGGCACGGTCATCCAGTTGTCGGGGAACAGGTATTGAGTCATGGGCTGGCGGATGGAGCCGGGAGCGTCGGGTTTGGCAAGTCCATCGACCCATATAGCGAGGGTGACTATTCCATGTTAGCTGACGAATATGATGCATGTAGTTGTTGACTCACTTCCAAAGCAAGACATTACACCCAGAATAGATGTGAATGACAGAAAGCGGAGGGGTAGGAAGCTCAATGGTATCAAGATCAGCCCACAGACAATCTTCCACTGGAAAACGTCCCAACCGGGAATAAGAGCGTCCATGCTGTCAGCGAAAAGCACGACCAATGCTACACATGCTGCTAGTAGCTCTAGCGAGAACAGAATGCTGGTGGCCACTCGCGCTTTGGTTCCAAAAGAGACGTACGCAAGATCAGCAAAGGTGATGAGGGAACCATCGACATCAAGGCACTTGGCAAGTAGCTTTGCAGTGTAGCCGGTTACTATGGCAGACCACGCGAGGAAAACCATGCCTATCAGCCATCCAGAGTACTTGAGCGCAAGTGGCAATGTGAGCAGTCCAACACCGACCAGGACGTTGACGGAGTTGAAGATTGTCTGGGGTAGGGTGGATTGACCAACAACTACGTTGATAATGTGTCCGTCCTCCTCGACCTGCTTGACCAGGAGCGGCTCTCGTTCTTGTTCTGGCTCCCCAACGCCCTTCATCTGTTGCTCTGTGAAGAGGCGGCCAGCATGGCGCATGGACGACTCGTTGACGCGCGAACTCAGACTGCCGTATCCCGTGCCATAACTCGCGCCGAAGGGTGACGATAGCGAAGGTTCGATCTGGAAGATACTCGACCCTCTCCCTCGCAGGCGCTGTTCGACGCCGTTGGGCAGCAGCTGGCTCCGCTCGGTTGCGCCATTCTCCTCGTCTGTGATGGCATTGTCGGATGCGCGTCTGCCCTCGTTCTGGAAGGCCTGTCGCAGGGCGGATCGTTGGTCGGGTACTGGTGTGGGCAGTCCGCTGCGCGAGAAGTCGGACTCCTCTGTGTCGTCGCCTTCGTCGTCTGTCTCGACGCGGAAGGAGGGTCGCACGGGGGTGATCTCGAAGAAGCCTGCTGCACGCTGCCACGACCGCGCAAAGTTGTTGATACTGTTGACGCCTCCAACTTCGCCCAGCGCGCTAATCTGCTGTCCTACGGAAGACCTGCTTTCTGTTAGCTGCCGTGTCACGCGAGCGGCGCGATATGCTCACCTCCGCCTGCGCAGCTCTCCCGCGGTGCCCGTCCACCTCCCGGCATTGCTCTCTCCACTGGGCCGCCTCGAGAGCTCGTCCCACTGCACATGGCTCTCCGTATCTGAGTCGATGGATGGGCGGTTGGAGTCGTAGGCGCTCCAGGCGGATGGCTGCTTCCCTCTGTTATCCATGGTGAGTACGTCAGGGCGTCACGACAGATGGAGCAGGCGCGACCAAGAAGAACGTATGGGGCAGGCCAGGCGATATATCGTCTAAAACTGTTGATTCAAACCCTGCAGGGAGGCGGGAGCTACTTGAGTCGATAGCTGGCTATCGTCGGGATGAGATTGCGCCTGGTGGATTGCGGGTGATAGCCGCTATCCATGACCGTCCTGATTATATAAAGAAGCGCCGAGCGAGGCACGTCTGCCATAGAACGACGCAGAAAGTCAAGATGGCTATCACGAGGGATTCATGCGGCCCCGCCGGTCTGCCGTCATAGCTGCCCCCAGCCGGAGCTACCCAAGGCACGCGCTGATAACGGGTTACTGCACATGCGCTGCTGCTGCTCTCCATGCCCGCCGCCCGCTGAGTGGCCGTGCAAGCGAGCCTCTGTCAGCGCCCAGTCGACTGCCCTACCGTGACTGTGCTGCCTTACGGGCACAGTCAGGGACAAATAAATTCACATAAGCCGAGTGGGCTGCCGTTTGCCTCTCCTGAAGACTTTCGCATTCACGTAGCCAAGGCGCGCAGTAGTCACAGGCCGCGCTCTCCACCCTCCTCCCGCCGCCAGTCGGCAGCTACGTCGCTTGTTCTTGCCCCTCGCCGAACAAGAAAATCTCTCGACCCCACCAACACCACTACCTCACCTCGACACCACCGCCGCGACCATGTCGTCCGGGAAGAATGAGCAGCCCAATGAGGCCGAGAAAAACATCGAGATCTGGAAGGTCAAGAAGCTAATCAAGCGTCTCGAAGCAGCCCGCGGAAATGGCACATCCATGATTTCCCTCATCATCCGTATGTGACACCTGACGACCTAGCAAAATGCCGCAGACTGACCATGTGCAGCGCCCAAGGATCAGGTTTCACGTGCCGCGAAGATGTTGGCTGAAGAATTCGTGAGTACCAGGACACCCTGCGCCGGCGCCGTCACTAATTTTCCAGGGTACCGCCTCCAACATCAAGTCGCGCGTCAACCGTCTCTCCGTCCTGTCGGCCATTACCTCGACCCAGCAGCGCCTCAAGCTCTACTCAAAGGTCCCGCCCAATGGTCTCGTTGTCTACTGCGGTGAAATTATCACCGCGGAAGGCAAGGAGCGCAAGATCAACATCGACTTCGAGCCCTTCAAGCCTATCAACACGTCGCTATACCTTTGCGACAACAAATTCCACACCGAGGCCCTGAGCGAACTGCTAGAGTCGGATCAGAAGTTTGGCTTCATCATCATGGACGGAAACGGTGCGCTCTTTGGCACTCTGTCTGGAAACACGCGTGAGATTGTCCACAAGTGAGTGCGACCAATACCTTTTAGCATACAGCTCACTAATCGGTGCAGGTTCTCCGTCGATCTCCCCAAGAAGCACGGCCGTGGTGGTCAATCCGCTCTGCGTTTCGCCCGTCTTCGTGAAGAGAAGCGCCACAACTACGTCCGCAAGGTCGCCGAACTGGCTGTACAGAACTTCATCACCGCCGACAAGGTCAACGTAGCCGGTATCATTCTCGCTGGTTCCGCCGACTTCAAGAACGACCTTAACCAATCCGATCTCTTCGATAACCGTCTGCAGTCCAAGGTCATCAAGGTCGTCGATGTGTCCTACGGAGGCGAGAACGGTTTCAACCAGGCCATCGAGTTGGCTGGCGAGACCCTCAGCAACGTCAAGTTCATTCAGGAGAAGAAGCTCATCAACGAGTACTTTGACCACATCTCCAAGGACTCCGGCAAGGTCTGCTACGGTATCGACGACACCCTGAAGGCTCTGGAGGCTGGTGCTGCTGAGACTCTGATTGTCTTTGAGAACCTGGAGATCACTCGCTGGGTTCTCAAGAGCTCTGCGGGCGCGGAAATTATCCTCCACACCACCAAGCAGCAAGAAGAGGACCGAAGCATATTCATGGACAAGGAAACCGGCCAAGAGATGGAAGTCATCGATCAAGGCTCTATGCTTGAGTGGCTCGCCGAAAAGTACCGCGACTTTGGTGCCAACTTGGAGTTTGTTTCCGACCGTTCTTCCGAGGGCAATCAGTTCGTCAAGGGCTTTGGTGGTATCGGCGCCATCCTCCGTTATGCGCTCAACTTTGAGCAACTGCAAGACTTCGACGAAGATGAAGATGAATTCTACGATGATTGACGGTTGTGCGCCCTCGCTGACTGCGAGGTAGCGTCCCCACTCGCTTCGAGTGACGGAACGTCCGCTACCTGCGCGAAAAGTCAAAAAGACGTGTCCGAGATCAGGGCCGGAGTAGTCGAAGCAACGACACTTCGCCTTTCCAGATTGTAAGATGGGAGTGCCTATGGAGGGTTTGCAATGTACGACTAGTATCCGTCCTCCAGCAACCATTGACTAATGTTTACAAGGTCGACCAGCACCATTCTTACCACGACCCGCTCTCGCTTGCATGGAGAGGCAGCAGCCTCATACAGGCTCGACCTCTTCAAACCTCGGTCTGAGAAGCTCTAACTTAGCTACAATAAGGACTAGAAAGCATAGGGATCCAGAAGGGTGGCTACCGTCAATTGTCGATTGCGAACCTCTTGAAAAGTAGTCCTTTACGGAAGAAGGACAGGCAGATTGCTCGCCCAATATGCGTCAGCTTGTCGCTCGCTCTACTCCAGCTGAATATAAAATTGATTTGAAAATGAGATTGAATGTTCGTAGTGATGCGCGTGACGTTCAGTGCTTTGTACATGGCCCCACCCTTTCGATCAATCTCAAGACGAACATTAGGGCGCAACACGCCCCATGGGGATGTCAAGTTAGTCTTTGCTTTTACTAGCGCCGATACCGGGTTCCGACGTCATTCCGAGATTTGGTGATTTATCTGTGTACATACGCAACGTCTCAGGAACCACGCACAAACATGGCAGATGAAAAGAGACCGATCGTGGCCTTCCTGGGTCCTGAGGGCAGCTATACACATCAGGTGAGTCAAATTATAAGAGTATGATAGCCATGATTGGGTTCCCCCACTCAAATCTAGCCATCAGCTTGAACAGACAATGTCACTGGTTCAGTCTTTCGTCACAACCACTTTTCCGTATATCCTTCTTTTCGTCACAAACAATAGATGACAAAAGTTCCCCTCTCTCCCCTATTAATATCAATCTTTCACCACCCATCCCCCACATCCCCATCCTAACACCACCCCCACAGGCCGCCCTCTCCGCCTTCCCCCCAACCTCACCAACAACCCCACCCGTAACCCTCACCCCCTCCATAACAATCGAAGACGTCTTCTCCGCCGTCCAATCCGGCACCGCATACCGCGGCGTCGTGCCCTTTGAAAACAGCTCAAACGGCAGCGTAGTCTTCACCCTCGACCTCTTCGCCGACCTAAATAACAAGTATCCCGATATTCTTGTTACGGGAGAGGCGTATGTAGCTGTTAAGCACTGTTTATTGGGGTATTCGAATGCTTCAAGTACTGGCGAAAGAGATGGAGATGGAAGAGATGGAGATGGAAGAGATGGAGATGGGAGGGATGGAAGAGATGGAACCGACTTCTCGCACATCAAGAAGCTGTATTCACACCCCCAGGCCTGGGGCCAGTGCAAGAACTTTCTGGCCAAGTACCTCAAGACGGCTGAGAGGCACGACGTGAGTTCCACGAGCAAAGCCGCGGAAATCGCGAGTCAAGATAAAACCGGCGAGTCCGCCGCCTTGTCTAGTGAAATCGCCGCAGAGCTCTTCGGACTGGACGTCCTTGCCAGGGAGATCAACGATAAAAAGGGGAATAGCACGAGATTCTTCGTCATACGCCAGAAAAACGATGATGCCATGCCATCTACAACCACACCCACACCCACACCCACAACTCCAACTCCACCGCCACCGCCATCACCCAGCTCTAACAACGCAAACACCTGGAAATCACTCATCACCTTCACCATCGAGCACTCCAATCCTGGTGCGCTGGCGAATTGTCTGACGGTGTTTTCACGTCATGGGATTAATCTGACGAGTATAAATACGAGGCCGAGTGGAGTGCGGAATTGGCATTATGTTTTCTTTGTCGAGTTCAAGGGGAGGAAGACGGATGGTGGTGGTGGGGAAGACGGGGATGGGGATGTGGATCAAGCGCTGGGAGAGCTGGATAAGGTGTGTAGGGGGTGGAGGTGGTTGGGGAGTTGGGAGAATAGGCTTGTGGATGAGGGGGAGACAGGGGGAGAGTGAGGCGGTGATGGTTCGGTGGATGGTGGCGGGGGGGAGGAATGAGGGGATCAGAAGGAGATGTTTTGTTTCCTTCAGGGTGGTTTCTAGGGATGGAGGATATCATTTAGATCACATTAACATCTCAACACTCTAAGATGCGTGGAATTGCTCTTTCGTAATCTCGTTCGTGAACTACTCACTACCCGCCAAGGCTATTACTCAGCGTACAGACGGTTTTTCCTTTTGAATCTCCCAGCACGATGCTGTTCGCCAATGCATCCTCGCAGCCACAACCAAGTGCGACAAACATCTACTTCGTCCGGTCAGGAATAGGTTCCTTGGGCGCCCTCCACTCCTTGACAAAAGGCAAGAAGTCAGGCTGACCCGGAATGTATTTCCTTAGCACCTCCGGAACGACGAAGCCTTCGGGTGTCTGGTAGTTCTCAAGGATACAGCAAAGAGTTCGCTCAGTCGCGCACACTGTTATACACAAATTAGTTTTCTGATTCCCTTCTCAAGCGAGAAGATGGGGTGCCGGGAGTAACTTACGAGTACCGTTGAGCGCGTGAACATACTCCTTCCTCGTAGCGTTCAACTTCTTAATCCCATGTCTAATCTCCAGCTCGCGCGTCTGGTAGTCGGTGCAGTTGGAAATGGAAACAAGCTCCTTGTACTCTCCACCACCCGTGACAGGGAACCAGGCTTCAAGATCGCGCTTCATCGAAGCAGCGTTGTTCAGCGCACCAGAGACGATGGCGACCACTTGGTAAGGCAGACCTAGGCTCTGGTAAAACTCCTCAGAGTTGGCCAACATCTCATCGAAAGCTTCCCATGACTTCTCGGGGTTTGTGAGGAGGAACTGCTCAACCTTTTCGAACTGGTGTATCCGGAAGATTCCCCATGCGTCTTTGCCGTGCGAACCAGCTTCTTTCCGGAAGTTTGTCGAGTATCCGGCGTACTTTATGGGCAGTTCCTTGTCGTGTAGCCACTCCTCGGAGTGAAGGGCGGAGATGGGTTGTTCTGAGGTGGCGATGAGGTACTTGTCGGTCTCTGGCTTGTCCTTGCTCTCGGTGACCTTGTAGAGTTCCTCGTCGAAATCGGAGAGTTGTGCGGTCTTGGCCATCTGGTCGCGCAGCATGAAGAAGGGCGGTTGGTTGGGTGTGAAGCCTTTGCTGAACTGGGGAATGATCATGTCAGTATAGCGTTCTGTAGAACTCGGTGCTTTGCGCGCTTACCAGGAACTCAAGGCCGTAGTTGATGAGCGCTTGGTTGAGGAAGACACCGTATCCAGTCAAGCAGTATCCTCTGTGACCAACGATCTTGGTGCCTCTCTCCGGGTCGTAACCGTTCAACCGCGCAAGTACACCGTGATGTGGGATGCCATCTGCCTTGAACTCTGCTTTCCGGTCCGCAGGAGCCCATGTCTTCTGAACCGCATTGTTGTCCTCGCTATCGCTAACTGGAACGTCCTTGTACACGTAGTTTCCGACCGTCTTCGTCTTTGTGAGCAGCTTGGCCAGTTTCTCCGCAGCTTCAGCCTCCTTCTCCTTCTTCTCGGCCTCCAACTTCTTCTTCTCCTCGAGCAGCTCGGAGGCATCTTCCTTGGCCTTCTTCTTGGCGCCAATGTTCTTCTGGACCGCGTTTATCTTGGAGCCGAATTGGGTGGCATCGTATTGTGTGCGACGGTGGTCTGTAGCCAGTGTAAGTTCTAGTGACCTTCCCGACAAGACTTTTGGAGTCGCTCTTGCCTTCAAAGTCTGCGATGATCTCGTCGACAATCTCGACGGGCGCGCATCGCTTCTTCTGGGACTCGCGGATTTTCTGGTCACAGTATTAGCATGACAACAACATTCAATGTCGCGCGAGAACGAGTCGGGGAATACATACGTCGGGCTCGCCGCCGCGCTCCTTGATGAAGTCGTTTCTGTATAGACGCGAATGTCAGCCCATATCTCTTCATACCCCCAACGCAACCTCCAATCTCGCCCTCTCCATGCCTACTCCCGCAATTCCAGCCCCTCCAAGCCCGACTTCAGCGCGTGCGCATCCAAGCAGCCCCCACTTTCTCTTCGCGCAAAAAAAAGAGCCAACGTACATATCGAGCATCCTTTCCGTCTCTCAGCTTGCGTATCACAAGCAGAATTTCGTCGTGTGTGGTGTGAGTAGACTCGTATCGAGAGATGTACAAAACGCGGGACTCATCAGTGTCCCGCACCTTACTCAAACAGCGACAGGGATTAGATTGAGCGACCCGCACTAGAGCGGATCAGGACGAGTCTGGTCAGAACGCTTGGCGTTTTCCTCTTCCGCTGGGATACCACGGGGATTGAAAGTGCTGCACTCGTTGGCGGGATGCGAAACTGCTTTATTGGGAAGGTAGAAATGAATGACGTATGCACCGGTGATGTGACAACATTTGTGCATTTCAAAGATGGATTATATCTCCCAAGCCCAGGTTTACAGGAAAGCATCGGAGGCAAAACACATCTTGCAGAGCATCAAAGCTCAAACTGCCGAATCGAGTAGGCTGGACAGAAGTGCCGTTGAAAGCAGTAGCTTTTCCGTCAAAGCTTCGAGCTTCCTAATACTGTAAGGTCTGTGGGTAGAAATGGTGGGTGGTGGTCGGTGCATCGCAAGCCTGTCGAGTCGAAATGCAGGGCCCGGCGTGACCTTCAGAACTCCACGCGAACATTCATGTACACAACTTTAAGCTGACATGAACGTATACCGTCTATTGTTGAAAGTAACGTAAAGTGATACGTAGTACTACAGCCGTGAAACATCGTCATTGACAAACAGCTTGAACCCCAGAATACCAGATAATAACGCCTATTACACCGCCGCTCACACCATTACGCCATTACACACTATTGCCTTCCATGAGGATAGTGAAAACCCAGAACGCGTAAAAGAATCATCGCGACAAGTCAGCCGCCGTCTATGCCATCTACAACAACCAAACAAAAGTATACCTCCTCTTACTTCTTCTTGAGCGCGTTCGTGAGATGGTCAAACGGGTGCTTGAGGAGGTGCGCACTGTTCCGCCGCTTCTTCTCCTTGTCCTCGCGCTCCTTCTGGAGGGCCGGGTATTTGTCCACGCCGACTGGTACACGCGCTCATGTCAGTCAAGAATCTTGGAATTACATGACTGTACATTTGCTGCCGCCAGCGGGCTCACCAGGGTTCTGGGACCGCTCCACCTCCGCAATCATAAGCTCAAAGGCCTTTTGTACGTTCTCGTTGTAGCGCGCGCTGGCTTCGGTGTGGGCACATTTGAACTCGGCGGCGAGGGCTTTGCCGTCTTCAGGCGTGACTTGGCGTTGTTCGGGACGCAGGTCAGACTTATTGCCCACGATGACGAGGGGAACCCATTCGACGGCCTAGTGTGAGGGGTGGTTAGGCAGTGGCGCGGAGCGTGTCACATGTCAGACTCACAAGGTGGTTCAGGATCTTATCGCGAATGATGCGCGCCATCTCAAAGCTCTGCTTGTTGGCAACCGAGTAGACAATCATGTAGCCATGAATGCCGATAAAGTGCTTGGAGTTGAGAATGCTGTATTCATCCTGGAAGGCGGTACCCGAGTCAGCGGGTGCTCAGTAACAGCTTGAGGTGCACGGCATGGCATGCTCAGCAGAGACGCGCGTGAAGCATCGCAGGTGGGGCGTCGACCTGGGCTGAGCTTCGCGACGCGGGGGAAAAGAAAACCTCATGTACCTGGCCAGCCGTATCGATGATCTCAGTCGCATAGTCCTGGTTCTTGTACTTGATCATCTTGCTGAAAGTATTCTCGATGGTCGGGTAGTAGCTGTCGACAAAGTGCCCGTCGACGAATTGCACCGTCAGACTCGACTTGCCTGTGCACCCTCGCGTCAGTATGCTGTTTGTTGGTACTTGCATGTGAAGCCTGCGCGAGCTTCGGGCAACCACGTACCGACGGCTCTGCTGCCGACAATGGCCACCTTTCTCTGCTTGGGAGGGGGCGCCATCTTGCTGCTGGGTTTGGGAAGAGGTCGTGAGGAAGCTGAACGACTCGCCAGGTTTGAGGTTTGGCTGTCTCAGTCCACCGCTGCGATGTAGCTGCCTAGGTTGCGTTTGGTGCTTCGGACCTGCCAATTGCCTGTAGGAGCTAGCTTCCAGCCCGGAATGACGCCGTCTAGCTGCAGGTGATGGGTGCGTGTGGCACGAACAAGCTGGTTCACTGGCCCGAGCGCTGTAGCTACTGTCGTGAGGATGTATGGTTCGAGGCAAACTTCGGCGAGCGTCGTGCCAGAGTTGTAGGTGAAGAGCAGCCGTCGCTCACGAAAAAAAGTCCCCGACCGGGTGCTGATGCCGTCATGTCTGCCGGCTCCCATCTCGATATAGCAGCAACGACTCGCGGCCGCATATGAAAGTTGGGCAACCATGATATATCGCTTTGGGTTTGGCACCGAGCAGCTGGTATTGGGTTCCGCAGTTCTGGCCATCCAAGCCGAACAGTGCACCCCGTAGCCGACGAATCCAGAGCTTCTCGAAGCATTCATTTACGTATTGCCAATCGTCTCGAGCCTAGCGCAAACCTGTCCAGCACACTACCTGCAGATACTCCATTCACTTACAACCACTCAGCGCCACAAGAACCTCCGAAATGTCAGAAACTATTGCTGCCCTTCCCGATGCCCCGAGCATACAACTTAGCCGAAATGATGTCGGGCGTTCTTGACTCAAGGCGAAACCATCACATGCAAGTCGTTGCAAAAGTGAAAAAAGTTGCTCGCCCGGATATCACACGCCCGCTGCATGGAAGTTCTGTAGAAGGCATCTCGCAAATTGCCCCGACGGCAGAGCCACTCCACATGCCGGCTGTTGCGTCACTTGAGCCGGCCTTCTGGGTCGGGTGCAGCCTTACGGACGGGTACGTGCGAGGTTACAAGCCTTCATTTAGCCTCTACTGCCTACGCGATGGGAATACGAGCGGATAGCGGCGACGAATAGACGACATGTCGCTCAATCAGTATAAGCTTGCAGGTTTCTCATATAACTGCTACGGGTCATTTGCTAGCCTGAAGAGCCTCGCTGCACGACCGTTACTATTCACATCTCTGTCCAAGATGCTGGGGTATCGAAATCTTTATATACAATACAAGCGATCCCTTCCCAGCAATGACCGCATACGCGTAATTCGGGGTATCATGCCATAGCCATTAAAGGCCTAACCAATAAGAACCTACCTGTCAAGAGGGAAACGACTTGCTGCCCAATGGTAAACAACCCGAGAGATAATCAAGTAAAGGCAAAGTGCGTCTGATCAGTAATAAATCAATGCCCAGGCGGGATACCGGAGTCAAGCCTCTGCATCTCTGCACCATCAAGTGCTCGCATTCTGTAACCGTTCCACGACAAGCATGAGGCGCGCCGTATAGGACTGCAAAGCCTCTTGACCCTCTGTTCCCTCAAGATTTCCTGCCTTCTGGTCAACGTGTTGGTGCACACGGACAAATTCCTTGATGCTGTCGACAAGGGTGTCAAGTCGCTTGTTCGGTAGCAGCGTGCGGACCTTTGCCCTTATCTGGTCGTTGAGACTCAGATTACCAAGGAGCACGGCAAGATATCCAATGGCTACACCAGAATGCGATTCTTCCACAGAAGCAGCCTAAAGCAGGGTTAGCATTGCTGAAAGCATGACTGCTGAACGCGTACGTACCTGTGAAGCACGCTTTGAACCCTCCAGGAAGATGGCGACCAGAGCGTCAATCTGATCAGCGACGTTAAGCCTCATCTCGTCGCTCAGCTCCGCAAGATTGATGGCAGCACCCAAGCTCAAGATGAGACTATCCAAAACCTCTGTCCGCTTTTCCGTTGCTAGCCCCGTACTGATCGACTCAAACTTTCCAACGATGGAATGCGTCAACGGCTGCACAAAAGCCATTGCTGAGAACGGCTGGCAAGCCTTTGGCTTGTTATTCGTCAGGTTCATGCATAGCCTGACAGCGAGCATAGTTGATGCAGCGCTGTCGGGCTGGAAGAACCGAGGCATAAAGCCCGCAATACGCTGAAGCACACCCGTCGGCCAGGAGGCTTGGATCTGCCTCGTGGCAGAGATTGACTCGAGTATGGAAAGTACTGTTTCCAGGCATATTTTGTCCGCGCTTCCCTCCTTGCCCGATTGCAACCGATCATTCGATTTCGAAGCCATCTCAACGAGCTGGGAGATCATCGTTTGATCAAGTAGCTTATCAGCATTGCCAGCCTTCCGCATACCAATGATGAGCAACTCGATAGCTTTCAGCGCGACAAGCTGGGGGGATATCTTCTGTACTACGCTGGATGACCAGATAGAGCTTTGCTGGACTAGGGTGCGAAACGTGAATACCGATTCCTTAGCAATCTTAGACATGTTCGACTTGCGATCTTTGGCGATCTCCTTGATATCCGCATCATTGCTGGCTAGCTCGATCAAGTGAGCGAAACTGCCGGTCTCCTGTAACTCGTCTAGGACAGAGTGGGTAGGGTTGGTACGGAGGATAAATACTGTGGCGACGGCAGCGACAAAGTCGAAGATAATCTCGCGACCGCCAGCGATGTTCTGGAAGAACTGATGGGCCAGAGCCGAGTCGACAAGCTGATGACAGAACGTCTCATCGGCCATCTTGGTGCACAGATCAATCATTGCGCTACGCCTCATACTCTTACTGTTGGTAACGGATATGTCTCCGATCATCATTTCGATCTCATATCCGATGATCATGTTACGCCCCCGTGTCTTGAGCTCGTGAATTTGTTGAGCCTGTGCTTGACTGTTCTGCTCGGGGTCATCCTCGGATACAGATCTGGTATCCATCTGGGACTGAGACCCAAAGCCATCGTCTAGATCCATCGAGATCAGTAGGTCATCCTCTGGATTGTCTTCCTTTAGGTACGACCGCGCCATTGCGTAAGTGAGCTTTGGACGCATGCCGAAACCAGACGTTGTCTGCGATGTTTGTGAGTCCACATTCGCTTGCTTGTCCACATTCGCTTGCTTGTCCACATCCATGTCGTCAGAGGACGCCGTTGAAGCTTGCTCTTTTCCGACTTCTCGTACAGATCTTCTTGCAGACGAGGGATGTTTTGAGCTTGCTTCAGACTCTTCTCCACCATCGCTGCTGCTGTCTTCTTCGTCATCGTCCGAGCTGGTCTCGGTTGGTTTAAGAGTGTCAATGAGTCTGCTCTTACGGGCCTTGGCACTGTGAGTGACATCAGACTTTGATCTTGCCAGGTTACCGATAAGTGATCTCGGTTTGCGATCCGTCAGCTGTAAGTTCGCCAGGCTTGGCATTGGTGTAGCAGAGGACGATGAATCGCTTAGCAAGCCGCTGAAGAGATCCCTCTGTCGCGGTGTCACGGAGCCAGGTACGACAGGTCTGGATTTCCGAACAGGGGTGGTCAACGGATCTGGTATGTCATACATAGTCTCGTCTTCAATCTCAGGCACGTCTGGGATTTTCTTGACAGGAGATGGCCTGGGGACCTGGCGATTCGGTATCATGCCGCTTAGAGTAGCGGGAGAGGACTGGCCCTTGGTCATCTTTCGCGGTGCCATGACAGGTACGGTACGTTGCCTCGTCCTTGTCGGTTTGTTGAGTGCCAGCGCTGGCGGTTGCGTTTTCCGTGTTGCGCCTGCGACGGGCTGCAACAGTGATGCATGCCCCGGTGAAGCACTTTCTTCGTTCTTCTGAACCTTCCGGCTCCGCTGATGCGCCGTCTGTTCAGTCGTCTGTTGTACCACTGGCGTAGCCACTGTGGCAGTCGACGACATGGACCCTTTGCGCTTTCGCTTGTTCGATGCATTCGACTCGTCCGACTCGGTAGTGTCCTTGTGAGACTCTTCCGATGTTGTCTTGGACTTCCCGGGAGGCTCTTTATGTGCTGTCTGCGGAGCTTGACGTGAGATCTTTTTGACAGTTGGCGGAGCCTCTTCGTCCGACATCGGTATGTCGAACACAGCGAGGTCATCGGTCGGTTTGGCAAGAGCTTTTCCTGCCGTCTTTTTCGCAGGTAGTGCCGAGGTTATCTTCGCATTCTTCTGAGCCTTGGTAGCTGTCGGCGCAGCGGCCGTCGTCTCGGAAGACGCCTTTGCCTTGGCCACCGGCCTCTGTGATGACTTCGGATCCCTTGCCGCCTGTTTCTGTGCTTCCACGGGCTGAGGCGTCTTCCCGCGTAGTGTCCGAGGTGCGATCGTATCCGAGGATGGCGGTGGCGGTGCCTGTACGGGCTTTGCAACTTGCGCGGGCGTCGGCAGCGTCTTCTTTACGGTGGCAGTATTCGCATCGTCAGGCTTGCGCAATGGCTGTGAAGCTTTCGCTGGCTTCTTGGATGCCACCACGGCCTCCCCTCTAGAAGAAGTTGAGGTTTCCAAGCCTGCTTCAGGTGCCCGACGCTTCGCTACGATCTTCTTCGTGGGCTTCGGACGCGACAGGAAGTCGTCGTCGGAGGGCACATCGAAGACGTCGACATCGGCGTTCCTTGCGCGCGCATTCTCCAGACCCGTGCTGGCCTTCAATGTGTCTCCGGCCTTCTTCAGCGAGCCGTTCAAGGCTGCGGGATGTTTCCGCGGTCGGTCTGGGGATGGCGGCGCATCATCGTTGGAATCAGGAAGGGGCGGCGGCAGGGTGGAGCGACGCGCGGATTTGCCGTAGACTTTCTTGCGACGGTCGCCGGACGTGAAATTGGCGAACATGGTCGTGGCCATGTCGGTGCGTAGGCGTGTTGTGGTGACGCTCCCAAAGTTGGCTCAGACGCGCATCTCGCAGCAGGCGGGTGGCACCAGGGACCGTGGATGGCTTGTCTCGGCAACCGCTCTCATTCAGCTTGATAGCGTCGGCCCACGCGTTCGCTCACCGCAAACCTATTCTCTCATTGTCGCGACTTCATCACAGTCACGGTGAAATGCTCAAAGCGGCTGTTTGCATGGTGGCTGGTGATCCAAGCAGGGTCCCGAACGACAGGCACGCTAAACAGCGGGGCATGGGTTGCTCCTTCCCAAACAGAGTGAAGGACTTCGCCGACGGTCACGAGCCTAGACTGTTAGCCCACCTACGCTCCAGCTCCTCTTTCCTGCCTCTTATCTGGACATCGTATCCATTGATAAAAGTCTGCTCTATCGTTTGGTCTTGCTCTCACCTCCATCTCATTCTTACCACCCCACAATATCAAATTGTTTTCCAACAGCACAAGCTCTACTCACACATTCACGCGCCGGTAAGCTCATTTTAGACTATGACTACGTTTACATATTCCCAAATGCTCCTGCTAGGATGCTGTATCTTGGCTCTGAAACATCTCCATACTACCAGATTCCTGTTGCATGACCTTGACTGACCATCCTCAGCCTCTCCCTAACCATGTCTTCCGACTCGCATCCGCCTTCCCAATCCCTGGGCCCCGAATACCGTCCCTCAAATCTGAAACCAACAGCTACCGTCTCAACTCCCCTCAAGCAGGCCAATGTCCACATCCTACCTCAATCCCCTCAGCTGATAGCATTGCTCACGTAAGAGCCCCGTGAACCATGACCAACACCATGGTCGGGCACCATTACCTAAACTAACAACCTCAAAGCATGATACGTGATCGCAATACCGGCCGCGCAGATTTCATCTTCTACAGCAACCGCATAATCCGTTTGCTTGTCGAAGAAGGTCTCAACCACCTGCCAACAGAGTCCCAGGAGATCACCACCCCAGTAGGTCGCACCTACTCCGGTGTCAAGTTCGAGGGCAAGATCTGTGGTGTCTCGATTATGCGTGCGGGAGAGTCCATGGAGCAGGGTTTGAGGGACTGCTGTAGGAGCGTACGCATAGGAAAGATCTTGATTCAGCGGGACGAGGAGACTAGTAAGCCGAAATTGTACTACGACAAGTTGCCTGAGGACATTGCCGACAGATGGGTCTTGTTGCTGGATCCTATGCTGGCTACTGGTAAGTACACAAGGCGTGTTTGCGTAAGCACTGCTGATGGAGATAGGTGGTTCGGCACTCATGGCGATCGATGTGCTCAAGTCGCGGGGCGTGCCAGAGGAGCACATTCTCTTCCTCAACCTCATTGCCAGCCCAGAAGGCGCACAAAACCTTGCGGATAAGTTCCCCAAGGTGAGAGTGGTCACTGCCTTTGTTGATGCGGGTCTGGACGAGAAGAAGTATGTTTACTCCCATCTCCTAACCGCTCCATACTAATATGACGTGTAGCTACATCGTCCCTGGACTGGGTGACTTTGGCGACCGTTTCTACACCATGTAAAGAAATCAACAGCATCTCCGGTTCATCGATAGCATTTGCTGGGCGCAGGGCGGCTTAGGTTTAGTTGGGCATGTAGTAGCATGGTTTCGTTCAAAGAAAACCACATGAGTATAGGCGTACCAGGGTCATTGATGTACACGCTTGATTACTGTGTACACTTCTACAGGCTGCGCTCAGCTAACCGTGAACACACTCAGCCTGACGCTGACGACGATAATGAAACGCCACCGTGAATCTGCGGACCCTTTTTGGTATCCTAAACGCCGTGCAAGCCATGATCCGCTCCCCATATTCCCATGTATTATACAAGGCCTGAAGCCTTCACGCCTGGTCGCTCTCGCGCGATGGCCCCCGGGCAACTCAGTCCGCGTACTCGCCCTCGGCGTCAGGCTCGTCGTGTTCGATGAAGCCGCCGTCGCCGTCGTCGTCTTCTTGGTTGTGCGCCGTCGGCATCCTGCCCATGCGATTTGTACTCCGCGCCGTCTCGACGCTGCCCTTGGCTGCCTCCTTCGCGACGGCGTCACACGCATCGATCCAGTCGGCGTACACGTCGACGGGCGCACTTAGGTAGTTGATGTTGGTCTGGAAGGTCTGGCCGCAGACTTTACATTGCAGGTTGCCGACACCCGACTTCTTCTCGATGGAGACGCTGACGGACTTTTCGTGGTTGCAGAAGAGACATTGGAAGGTGGTCGGGAGTTTCTCCTTCTACAGGGGTGTTAGTTGGCGGGGCATCAGGAGGATAGGGTAGAGCCTGCCTTCTTGGGGCCTTGAGGCTTGCTGGAGGATTTGCGCTTGCCCTGTCATTGCTGTTAGTTTGCGCCTGCGATACCGTGAAGCCGGGAGGAACGCACCATTTTTCGCGTTGGTCAGAGTCGCCAGATGGGGAAGGTGTGTGTACACGTAATTATTAAGTAGCAATTGTGGTGGGGATATCCAGAGCCGTGTTTGGTGCTTGTCGCGCCGGTGTCGTGTGCAGTGACGCGAAATCGCGAGTTTGGCTTGAATGCGTCTCGAGTCTCGCGTGGTTCCGACCGCCAAGATCCCTGTCGCTCCCTTGCAGCTGCCGCATACGTCGATAGCCGATAAGCGCCCCCGCTCCTATCAGCGCTCGCCGCGACCATCATGCACGTGTGTAGTCAGCTGTTCGCTGCTGCCACCGCCGGCGAGCTCCTAATATCTGACCACGTTGATCCTCCTCTTCCCTCTTTCTCCTCCTTCTCTGGATTCTTCTGGTCCCCTTTGACGTTTGTTCAAAGTTGTGTTTGTGACTCTGTCCGCTCCCCACTTCTACATCATCTTGCGTGTTCGTCCTACCACCGGAGCTCACCGGTCTTTGTTTCACGACTCGATACCAACGCAGCAATCGCGATTGCTATTTATCTTTTAAGATCAGAGATCCTGTACTACTTTGTATGAGATTTACCATTACCAAACATGTCTACTGAAAGCACCACCAGCGATGCTGTCCTCAAGGAGATTCTCGATGGGCTCAAGGCGCTGCGCTCGGAGAACTCCGTACTGGCAGCTTCAGTCGACAAGATCAACGGCCGTGTGAACATGCTGGCAGGCATCAAGCAAATCAAGGACGAGGCAGCAAGTGAAGCTGCCAATGGCAAGCTGGACGGCGAGAAGGCGAAGGAAGTTGAGCCAGAGAAGTCCGTAGAAGCTGTTAGCGAGCAGTATGAGCAGCCACCTTCAAATGCTGATGCCCAACCACGTCGCACGAGTGTATCCAAGATTTCAAAGATCATCTTGACTTCGTATCCCGGCCAAGCCGGTGTCGACCCGTTGCCAATGCAATGGGGTGCCAAGGACCCTGCTGTTCGTGGCCCTGTCGTTGTGTCAAGACATGCGAACACTATCCGAAGACGCAACGGTACGTACATCTAAACGACTATACATTTAGTTTCTAACATCTTGTAGCTATTGGTGCTCATGGTGGCTCATACTCCATCTACAATGCTCTGGCCGTTGCCAGCAAGAACCTCGACATCACACACAAGCCAGACTTCACCAACACTGAGCCTGCCGCAAAGATTGGTCCTTTCCCGCAATGGAGCGACCCAAAGAAGATCGTGGCCATGGACCCATACGGCCATCTCGCACCCTGGCTGTACAAGGAAACGATGGACAAGGATGATGTTGAGATCAGACCTACCATTGCCATCACCAGAGCACACATGAAAGTGCCAGAACTTGAGGAGAGTGTAAGGAAAGGCAGGCTCGTTCCCGATGGCAAGATTTGTGTCAACGAGACTGGTGAGGTTGCGGTCACCAAGGTCGCAGTCGAGCCTGTATGGTACTTGCCTGGTGTTGCTGAGCGTTTCAACATTGGTAAGTGAGTCGAAATGTATTTCTGACTACATCCACTAACGCATTTGAAAGACGAGGGAACTTTACGCCGGACATTGTTCGAAGAAACTGGTGGTTCTTACCCAGAGCTCATCACCCGTCACGACATCAAGCTCTTCCTCCCTCCTATTGGCGGTCTAACTGTCTACATCTTCGGTGACCCAGCAAAGATGTCCGACCCCAGTGCGAAGCTCGCCCTCCGTATCCACGACGAATGCAACGGAAGTGACGTATTCGGATCTGACATCTGCACATGCCGTCCCTACCTCACTTTCGGTATCGAAGAAGCAGTCAAAGAGGCCCAGAAGGGTGGCAGCGGTGTTGTCATCTACTTCCGCAAGGAAGGCCGTGCTCTGGGTGAGGTCACGAAATACCTCGTCTACAACGCCAGAAAGCGAGGCGAAGACCGTGCCAGCGAGTACTTCAAGCGCACCGAGAACATTGCCGGTGTCAAGGACATGCGCTTCCAGGCTCTAATGCCAGATATCCTGCACTGGCTGGGTATCACCAAGATTGACAGAATGCTCAGCATGTCCAACATGAAGCACGATGCTATTGTCGATCAAGGCATTCCGATCCATGAGCGTGTACCCATTCCCGACGATATGATCCCGGCGGATAGTCGTGTCGAGATTGATGCTAAGATTCAAGCTGGCTACTGTATGTTCTTACTCCCTCTGATGCTCTGGGCAATTACTAACAGGATGTCGCAGTCACAACTGGCCATGTTATGTCGATGGACGAGTTGGCAAACGTAAAGGGTCGTGGTTGGGACGACGTCGACGTAAGTGCAACTGGTGACTCCTCATGAACCCATGCTGACCTCAATCTAGCATTGAAGAACTCGGATGACATGAACGAGGTGACATGTTGTAGGAGTAAGCTACCATTAGCGGTACAGAGCGAATTGCCTATCTCGACATGTGATGATAGTACATAGAAAGAACTGCACTGTCAAAACACAACACATCATGCCACTTCAAACTACTTCACTTTCGATCGTGCTTACACATTTACTGTATCATCTCTATATGATGATCGATGCGATACTTCTACCACCATCTTCACGTGCAGATAGCAACAGCCAAGCCACCGTCCAATCCAACAACACCACCCCCCAACCAATCGCTTACCATCAAGTCCCCTCAACACACGTATCCACAGTCCACACGCCTCCCTCCGCATACCGCGTTCCCATCGCCAAAACACCCACCGGCTACCATACACACCCCCCACCACGCAAACCCACCTCATAATTCCAGTCATACTCGCATAACACACGTGAAAGAAAACGCCCCAAGCCCTGTCACTTCATGCATACATGTGTACCGCCACTAAACCGCAACAGCACAAAACCTCCCGCTTGACTTCCTCCCATCTACTATGATCGCTGTCCCTATACCAGCATACCCGGTCCCCTATGCCCCTCATCGCCCCTGTCACTGTGTTTTCCCTTTCACCCTGGTACACCCGCGCGTCGCCTTACCCGCACCTACCGCGCATGACCTGGCCTGACAGCTGCAGATGCGCCGTTTCGTTTGGAGATAACGATCTACCGGTGTGTTGCACGTGTTAGGCAGGCGAGAAATGTGGGAATCAAGGGTCTAGAATGCGGATTGTTATGTGGGTGTTGTGGTGGAAGTGTGCACGTGTTGGGATTTGGTGTGTTAGCGGAAGTGGGGGGGATGAGACGGACGGGCTGTTGGTGTGAACGGAGCAAAGGACACCGATTGATTGCCGGGAGCGGCCCGCTTATTGGGTTGACCGCTGGTGTTGGTACACGTTGATTTTTTTTCTTTGCTTGCTGTTTTGGTGCCTTTTCTGCTTACCGCTTCTTTGTGCGTGCGTGGTTGTGGGTGGTTGGGAACTGCGTACGACTCCACTCAGATGTGTTTCAGATTTTGGGACATCGTGATCTAGTGTGGTGGTTCTTTTCGCTTTCGCCGTTGTTCGGTGAGGTAGAGTACGGGGTGGATCAAAAAGAATGTGTTTTTATTTGTTCGCACGTAGAGGGTCAGATGTAAGCTTTAGTTGGCTGATTATCGGTAGAGTTGCAGAGTGGAGTGCAGTGTGGTTACGATAGTGGCGGTAAACTCGTCATACTGTCGGCGACCGTTTCTGCGTTGCCGCAGTGACAGGCGCTTTCCAACTCGCTTGCTCAAGAACGAGACGCAGCATAAGACTCGGTATGGTGTTGAGCGGGTATGTATGTTAGTTTTCGGACAGGATCGGCGGCGAGATCTGCCGTAGGAGCGTGTCTGGATTTGCGGAGAATTTACTTGGGGCAGAGGCGTCTGAGCTGAGGGTGTCTTGAGTGAGGGGTATGTTGAGGAGGGCCTCAGCACCGTCACGAAACACCAACGCATCAAAGCTGCCTTTGGTGTTATGGCTAGCCGCTGGGGCATGCGAACTTTGGGTCCCAGTGCTGGATGTCTCCGGTCCGAAAAGAGTACATGGGAATGTATCGTCGATGAGGATGCGGAATTGCAAACTTGCTGGTCAACGGCCGCGGCTATGACGGCGTGGAGGGGTTCCCGCTTCCCGGGTCTAGCATGCACGTCGGTATGGCTAACCACATTGTATGTACACAATGACGGACTGGGCAGCACGGCATGATGCTAGATAGCTTTCGGCTCTTGCATCAG